ATGAATTTATAAATCAACTAAGAAATCATGATTTCGTGATTAGGTGGGATAATAATTAGGGATACATAATGACATGAATGTGATTAAAACTTCTTGGCATAAAATTCACGAGGCAATGTACTGTCGGCGGAAGTTACAAGTCCGAATTTCGATCTTACGATAACTATAAGGGAGAAGTTCCGGGACAAGTCGACACATCTACCAAGTACTCTTATGGTTTAATTATTTGTTTATTCGATTTCCCGAATGATTGAAAGCCACTACCAAGTATGAAATTTATTTTTTATTTCTGACCTTAGTATATAATTCGAAGATGCAGAGCTTAATGTGCTGGTAGATGGATGACCAGTAAAAGATTAACATAATAGAGATACTTTTTGACGATTATAAATTATCAGAAGGGGTATTGTGGAGATTTTAGAAATTTTACTGATTGAAATCATGAGTCAATTGAAGCTAGACCACCATGGAAAACCTGGAAGCACTGGACGGCCGTTTCGTCCTAGTATGGGACTCCCCAGCAGTGCGCATCCACGATCCCGCACCCCGCAAGATTCGAACCTAGGACCTATCAGTCTCGCGCCAGGCGCTTAACCCATACTAGGACGAAAAGGCCGTCCAGTGCTTCCAAGTTTTTCATGGTGGTCTAGCTTCAATTGACTCATGATTTCGACCAGTGAGATTATAAATTAGTCTATTGTTTGACTACTTTTATAAACATGTGCATAATTTTTGACTGTATAACTAACTAATGACAACAGATACTATGAGAAAAATATTCAGCTATGTCCTTCCTATTAGTCATATCATTCTTGGCTTAATTTCAAGATATGCAAACAATATTTCATATCTGATAAACCCAGAGAGATGGAATAAAATATTTTTTTTGAATTTGATTTCACAAACATGACTAGAATTTTAGCTCCTAAACCTTTCTAGTAGTTTTTATATTAACAACTCGTGCCTATTTTTAAACACAATTTTTTATTGTAGTGATGTTGAGGAGTTTGAGAATTATGGTGCGGAATGATATACAATGCTACATAGTTTTTAGTTGTCTTTTAACTAACTTCGATTTCTAGTGAAAATCATTTTGAGAACAATCGTATTCGGGAACTCCGAGTGATTATGTGTTTTTTGTTACTCACTACATCAACAGTCATGTGATGTTTTGTAAGTTTTTGTGAATATTCAAAGATGTGATTACAAATTTATAAGACTTTAACGTCAAGTTGTTAGGCAGTGAACTCACCAAATGAAATTGTCTACTCTATCTCAAAGCTAGAAAAAAGATCATTCATCTAAGTGCGATAAGAACAATCTACAAACCAAACTATTTACTGCAAAACGTTTCAGTTAAAAAACCTAAATCAGTTCGCATGCATTAATTACTGATCTTAGTCGGCTGCCAGACAAACGCTACAGGAGACTGTGTTTTATGGGACGTTTGTTCTTTCCCACTCAGTGGAAAGGTTTTTAAAATGATTTAAATATTCAACTGTTTATCGAAGTGAAACTTTTTCCATAACATTAATTAGCCTTTAATGCCATCCTTACAAATAATTTATTTACTAAACATGAGAAAATGATACAAATAGAAGCGATATCTAGCTATACCTTGTTAAAATTCTATCGATTCGTTTTTTATCAGTATGGGGGTTGTGGAGATTGTTAAGTTTTTTTGGTTGAGATCATGAATCAATTGATGTTAGACCACCGTTGGGTTCGAATCCCGCTCGCGGGATCGTGGATGCGCACCGCTGAGGAGTCCCATACTAGGACGAAACGGCCGTCCAGTGCTTCCAGGATTCGTTTTTTATTAGAAGTTATCCTAATAATTATTGAATCAATTTCTCCACTAAGTAAAATAGGGCAATGTAATCGAAATCATTGGTATATCTCAAAGCAGATCAATCAATACACAAGTTTAACTGGATAGTAAGTGAAAATTATAGATCACTAAGCAATTATTTCACTGAACTCAACAATATTCACATCTAATCTGTGTTGAACACAATACTCAACTCTCTCAAAATAAAATGTTAGCCACTGAACTATTGAAACTAGTTCTAATGACAAATGCAACTCAAGACAAATACTATTAACCGTGCAACTGTAACCTTCTTACAGTATTTACAGGCTGTATTAGGATACTAGGAATCAGATGGTTAATGAGATCCCCCTAATCAGGATAATTAAGGCATCGAAGCTATTCCAGTTACAATATTTAACTAAGTCAGCAAGAAGAAAAACAACTGATGTATTGGGTAAGAAAAGAAAACAATGTTTCTTAAGTTTAATTATTAACTGCTTTACCAGTAATGCTCATGCTACCCTATTATTTGCATTTTCCTTATTCAAAGCCATGACAACACTTTATTAAATTTTATATATATAGTTGTAAGACCTTATTCAGATACAGTGAAAACAATAAAGTGAATTGAGATTTTGATAACAATCGTTTTATTTTGTATTTTTTTCTATTGAATGTTTGTTTGTTTTATTGAAGCGCAAGGAGTGGAAAAGGTAGAGAGAAGAAAAGATTGAAAGACCTATAATTTTTAGGTTGATGATTTCAAACCCAGTTATATGCAACTCTTCTCCACCTTATGTAAAGATGATAATTTAAACTGAGATTTAATCATACATTGTACAAGATGGTGGGATATAGTGAAACTGTTTCATACTGTTCAGGTTTAATCAAATAAACAAACATTTACTCATTTGCGTTTTCATCGCCATTTAATTTCAACGCTTATTTATTCAGATATCACAGAACTAATTGAAAGATTAATAGGCACCTGCAAGCTTTAGCCTACCTATCGTTATTTCGTGTGGGTATTTATAAGTCTCATCAGTTGGCAGTACTGATCAATCAAACTGGACCTCAGTCTAAATGATTAAAAATTAAGTCTTTTGTTTGAGGTTCATATAATGTGTATTATGCCACGAATGGTGTTACTCAGTTCGTTTACTTGACTAGTCACCTTTAAAACGGTTCAAGTTATTTAATTATTTGGTCTGGATAATCTTGGGTGCATTATTGATGATTTGAGTTCCAAGAGAGTAAAACATCCCGCTGATAGTTGTATGGCTCGTATCTAATTTATGAGAAACACTAATCATTATAAGAAATTTATAGCTACTTACGTCACTCAAGCAATTCCTAAAACTTATATAAACCCGTCAAATTCCTATAATGATTGCTCACTCTGTCTTATTGAATTTCGAATTTCGGTAATAACTGTCTTACCTCCTTTATTTAAAAAAAATATTTATCATCAATGATCATGTACATGCATATACTTAGTCTTGATAACCCTTGTCCTATTAATTTTTCAGTCACCAGTGTTTCTGACTTAATATTAGGTTAAATTTCAGTACGAATATGGTTATAAGTAACTGATGAGAACCGGTGAAATGAACATGAATTTATATATTTTTGAGCCAATTAATATTATTTTATTCAATTTCATAAAAGATACTCAGTGTGTAAAACTAATTCTGTCTTTTGCTAACTATTCAGTAGTAATTTTCTTTTAAATGTAAAATGCATGAAACCAAAAATGTATGGCTTCTAAAAATTGTGGCTATCAAGAAATGAATAAACATTTTACTAGGAATGATAAAAATCATTCAAATCAATCATTATTTATCACGCTTGTTGAAAAGCTCCGGACTATCCGGGTAGTTCAGTTTATTGAGTTGAGTCGTATTAGCAAATTAACAGTGACTTAACTTTTGTAGATATAATATTATAATCTGCTTAATTCAATATGTCAGTATGGTCAGATTCTTTGTACAGAAAAATGCGCGTCTCATATATATTAACCAGAATATAAATAAGCTTAGAAAGTCTACTGACAATTATAATGAAATAACCGTTACCAGTTAGCCGATGTATTATTATTTCCTCGAAATTACTAAGGCTTCTCTTAGTCGGTTTCATGATAGTGAAGTTTAAATTTAACAGTATATTACATGTAGTCTTTTTTAGAATAATTTATTTTCATAAATGTTTCTTTTGTGCTCTCAAAAATTTGCATTCCGTTAACGGAATACAATTAACTATTTTTATTAACCTATTACTAATACTGTCATACAGTCACTTTTAGACAATTTGTCATTAGTATTCAGATTAGAAACAGGGATTCATTTTTCATCATTATCATTAGGGTTTGGGCAGAAACCTGAAGGCATCATCTATAAGATTTTCTTATTCTAACTTTTATATAATATCAATTAGATAACTTATGTACTTTTTTCTGCGGTTAGAAGTTTATTTTTAGAACCAAAATTTATTCATGGAGACCTTTTCCAATAAGTAGGAAAAAAATAGAGGACAGGTAAGTCAGAATGTACTATTATAAAATTTGGTCAACATTAATTACTCAAATCTTATTTTTGTTTCGCCAAAATTACTTCTTACAGGACAAGGTTATACTAACAAGTAACCATGGTCACCTTTGTCCTATTATGTTTTTCATCCTTTTTCTTTAACCTGTACAAACTACAATAAGAATACTTGAACATAAGGTATCTGGGGTTCTGAGAAAAATTAGGAGTGAAAATTTTGTAACGTATTGTTTGCCCTAATTATCGGAAATCTAATAAGAATCTCGTTATATTTTTATTAAATAGGCATATAGTACGTGTACAAATTTGTGGGTGTGCATGAAATCAACCAAGACATCTGAACAGATGTTTCTTATTAGAATGAATTGAAAGTTTTATAGATAAACAAGGATGACCATCCTTCCAACGTTTTAAAGTATACCAATGTATTTTGCATTATCGTTCATCACTTTATGAAAGCATCTACTCATGTGAGCATGTGTAACTGTGACAATGAAAACATTATCTTTAAAGTAAATTAAATGATACCCATTTGTTGATGTTTTCTTTTGTTTTCAGTAACCAATAATTAATTTTTTACATATTAAAAAAAATCCAGTAACCAATTATTGATGAAGAGGAAGTAAAATCAAACTATTTAAGTGATGAAACTCATATGCAAATTTTTATCTCAACAAACTGAAATTGTTCTATTAAAGATGCGTGAAATAGTACATATACAAGTTGGACAATGTGGTAATCAAATCGGGTCAAAAGTGAGTACATAGTTTTGATTTAAATAACTGTCTTATCATGTAGAATATCATATAGAAGTTGTTGTTTTTAACATATTGTCTCCTTTACATGTCAAACTATTCATGTCACTTTTTCTGTATAATTTAAACAAATCGGTCGATCTATTTTAAGTGTTGTTATTCTTTAGTCTTCAGTGCTCATCGAAATGATTCAACCTGACAATCCTGTTTGAGTAGTATATTAAGACCACTTCAACAGGGATTAACAAGGAGATGTATTCTTAGTCTTTATATTGTTTTTCTTAACTTGCCAAATTTAACTGTCAAATTAAAGAAGTTGATCTTGAAAAATAAAGAGTAGCATTTACCGTCTTTTAGAATGACATTTCAGATGAACTGACGAAGGATCAACATGTCTTCAGAGTCCTTAACAACATTTCTCCTTCACTTTACGGAAGGCAAAGTCTGTGCATTGCTTATATTCGAATGTTATAAAACTTTAATTTGATAGCACACAAAAATTCAATCATACAGCACTAGTTCCTTTTTATGCATGAGTTCATCAGAATGTATTTCGGATAAATTTTACTGTTCTGTAAACCAAATAACTCTTGACTTTATCACTTTAGATATTATTAGCTTATCTATTATCGAACAAATTAATACCTAGAAAACCTGATTTGAAGCTATTTAGTTTGTTTCTATTAATTTTCACATACAATGAGATACTTTAGATCTACTTCATTTGAGGTCTTCAAGATGGTAAATCGAGATAGTGCTTAAATGATCTCATTACCTGGAATGCAACTTTTAAGAAGTTATTTGAATTAATCAGTATCTATTTCAAAATGTCTTGTTCTTGTTTCACTATCACATAATAGCTTAGAAGATAACAATGTGCTTATTGAAACGTCGATTGTTTCATATGAATTCTAGTGATAACTTCAAAAAGATCTACTGGAAAACTCTACATCACTATTTTTTTTCATTTCAGCAAAAATATTGAACAGTGTTAATCATATTCTTAATTCTTTTCCTATCATAAATTATCAAATAACTCTTCATTATTTCTAAAAAATGACAATTTTTGTACAGTATCTAAATATCTTTTTAGTAATGGAGCGGAAAGTTGTGACTTCTACATTTCTGTATTATACGTAGTTACAAATAATAAAATGATTGTTCACATGAGAAAATTCTCATTGTTGAGTAGATTCTCTTGTATGATACAATCAACTAGCACATATTCTACTTTCTCTGAGTACATTTACTATCATTTTTGGATTAGGTAAGTGAATTTTCTCTTGACATATAAATATGGTTAAATAAAGTGTTCATGTACACAGAGATTTTGATATGTTTACAACACATGTATCGAACGAAATTCAATTCTTCCGGAGGGAGGTGAAATTGAACTCACTAATTAAAAGGAACAAAGTAGGGTTTACAATTTGCCAGGAATCAGTGAAACCTGTAGGCTACAGTACGTTTGGGTTTGTGTAACAAAACATGGTTATATTCTAAAAAACAAACAGTAAATAATAATAACCTGATTCATAACTGTTTTGATCTATGTTTATGAATTCTCAGCACAACTCAATTGCAAACGTGTCACTGTTTTACTTCTGGAATCAAGAAACGGTTATCATTGATGTCATTCACGTAATTCTTACAGTGAACTGATCTTTAAATGTTTAAAATGAACTTGATCCAAATAATAACTGCTATGGGTGGTTTTCAACTACTCATATTAGTGAGTAGTATTTGTAAGTACTATACGTTGCACTAAGCCAGTGTAAATATAACCAAATGACTTTAACTTTTTGACATTAAAAATACATGTGAAAATGAAACGATTGCATAGTTTAAGTGTTAAAACATGACCTTATATAATTTCTAATAATTCATGATACACATAATTGTTTGTATTTCTTTTGATTTAGATGAAGAGTAGGATAGCTTTGAGATATTAGTTTTCACCAGGTTAACTGCTTTTTGATACGATTAATGAATCATTTATTTCACTTGACTAGAAGCATAGAAAAAAAAATGTAAACCCGTAATCACGAATGACGTCAAGTACTATACCACATTACATTTGTTGTATCATGACTTTTAATCCTACCCAGATGTTGAAATTAATGTGAATGAAATGCAAAGTGACTGAATCGCTTCTTTACACCTTAACATTATGTTCACAATAAAGCATGGATTTGTACTACAAATCATTGTATTTCATGATCATCAAACTTCATTTGTTAGATTTTTCAAATCAAGTAATATTTTACCTGAGATAAGGCAGTCAATAAGCCTATGAGACGGTATACATTGGTAGTAGTAACTACCTACTTTGAATACAGTTTTTATAAGAGCTTTAAGCTGTAACAAGTTGGTCAACAGACTCCAACCCAGTTGTGGGGTCCTCATTAGGTCTCAAGATCTTGAGTCTGAAGAGCATCCGATTTCGAGACAATTCAAAGTACTTGAGTAAGAGTTTGGTGTCCGTCGGTTCAACCCATTTATTCAAGGATTTCGACTGAAAGTAACTGTTCAACTAATGAAATCAATAACCATCTTCCTCCATCTCATGAAATCAGTTTAAACCTGCTATTGAATTAGAAATTGAGAACACCTAAACTCAATTCAACTATTACTAACAAGAATAAGGACATAATTAATTTTGTAATAAATTAAACTGGTTAAAAGAAAGTGGTTGACGCGGTTGGAACAGAAGAGTGCTTCACTCAACATGAATATCATGGAAATAATCTTTTTGTTCAGTTTAATACATAAATAAGATGTTTTAATATCTTAAGTACACAATCTGCTATTTGGCTTTCTGAAGATAAGAAATGCCAAACTAATAAGTTGCTTTCCCAGCCCAAACAAGTAAACTTTTTATGAAGTTTTGGAGGGTTCATGGCTAATTTTACATGCAATCTCTTCAATTACACAGGCAAAGTGATTTCTCAAAATACTTCTAATCAGATAAAGTTAAAAATCAAAATAAGAACCTGGATTCCCGATGGACTATCGTGTCATTCGCTGAGAGCTTCAACTAATGATGAGAACATGCACAACACTTTTTTTAGTAAATATGGTGTGATTTTTAAGTGAGTACAAACAGTTGACAGGAAAAGTGTACTTCTATCTCTAGCTTTTAGAAATTTATCATCAGAATTCAGCTACAAGTTTAGAGAAACTAGCTTTCTCTCATCCTGAAACATGAACTACTTTTCTTCACGATTATTATTGAGTTAATTTTATAAGTATTCATCTTGTAATCCAACTACTTCACTGAATTTATTTATTTGAAACAGTTCTCAGTAAATTAACGATAAAGTTTACTGAAAACCTCAAATATGTATATTATCACTCTTAAGAGTCGAGTATCCTAATTGCATATTTTTCTAGTTTTGGGAAGTGATTTCTGATGAACATGGAATCGATCCTACGGGAAATTATACAGGTGAATCTAATTTACAGCTGGAACGAATTACAGTGTACTACAATGAATCGTCTTCTCAAAAATATGTTCCGCGTGCAATATTAGTAGACCTGGAACCAGGAACAATGGATAGTGTTCGTACAGGTCCATTCGGAAAATTATTTCGTCCAGACAACTTTGTATTTGGACAAAGTGGTGCAGGAAACAACTGGGCTAAAGGTCATTATACTGAAGGTGCCGAACTTGTAGATTCAGTATTAGATGTGATGCGTAAGGAGGCAGAGAACACGGATTCTCTTCAAGGTTTTCAATTGACTCATTCACTTGGTGGTGGAACTGGTTCAGGTTTGGGAACACTGTTGATTTCGAAAATTCGTGAAGAGTATCCTGATCGAATAATGAACACATTTTCAGTTGTTCCATCTCCTAAGGTGAGGCAAAAAGTCTGATACATATTTAATTCCTAAGTTACTCTATTCAGTGTTTACATTGGCAACGTTTTATCTCTTGAGAAATCTAAATGCTAGGAAAGTATTAAGAAATACATCTACATTTCCCAAAATATACTTCTAATATTTATTAGTTCTGATACATCCCCGAAGGATAGAAAATAGCACATATCCATTTGATTGTTTTTTGAAATAAGTTTAATGATCAGACTGCGGCATTCATAGATGATAAAATTTCAGTGTACTAATGAGTACTGAGCAATGACTCCTGGAATATCAGTTTAACTACTAACACAATAAAAGTTACAGGATTTAATTATCAAGTCAAAGGTTCTTCTTGGTCTGATCTTCAAATCACACCCCATGTATCGAAATTGGGAATATTAACGTGTTTTTAAGGCCACAGGAGACAGAATGGGGTTCACCTCAATACTTCACTAGCTTTAATTTAGTTGATTTCTGAACTATGGATACTAAACTTACTTGAATTATCGACTACAGGAAGTTTTCTAGGCATTCTCGCAAATTGAGAAGGCTCTTCTATACTCATCATAGCATTCTAGCAATCTGGTGTTCCAGATAAGCTTATGTAAGGACCGGACTGATATTTTGAAGTTTGAGAGTACAAGACCGGTTGTAATCTGGTTACGTTTACTAATACTAGGCAAGGACATTATTTACTAAACATCAAAAGTTTTTAGGTTTTAAAACATCACATGATTAAATATGATTATGAGTTAAAGTGAATAAACTCGCAAAAGCTATGCCTTGATTCATTTTACGTATAACGGCATCCTTAAATCTTCTAGTTCTCTTTGTGTTCATCCCTAATTCTTAATAAGAGAACACATTTAGACTGCTAGCACTATTGCTATTTAATTAATATACAACCATTGTTACTACCTCGATTACTATTGAGACTTTGGTTGACTAATAATTCTCATATTAATTTAAAAGATGATGTAGAGAAGCATAAATAATGAACTAAGTTTTTTGAAAGATAGTGCAAAATTGTTAAAGAATGAAAACTAGATAATTGTTGTGATAATTTTTCTATTCATGAGCAGATATTCATGTGACAACACGCACAAAATAATCCTTCTGAGAGACTTATTGCTCATATGTACGTAGATCATTGTATATGTAATTTAACTATTAAATTTTCAAGACTGAATGTAAGTATAGAAAGACAAAGCTGTTAAGTCTTAGAGTACAAAAGCAGCATTTAACTCCGTTAAAATTAACTAATCTACATCGATAAATATATATGAAATTAAAAAGTTCTTTACAATGAATATTAATAAATTCCGATTTTCTGTTATTTTATGATTACTTTTTAATAAACATCCTTGATCCCAGAATTAAGGTTTGATAATTATCATATTTTGATTGATTTCACTTTATGATTCCGAGTATATGAGAGTATGTGGAATGTTATTCTGAACCTTATTGAACCCGTAAGGTATGATTAATACTATTTTCCTATTCCTTTATAACGTCAGACATAGTGTACATCACTATTTAAATCCACTGCTCATCACAACAGAAATGGAAAGAAAAAGAAGATTTGATAATTAGAGTACTGGTGTAAAATACCGTGGTTATAGGCAATCAAATATTGGAATAAATCTCAGTCACTAACTGTTGATTGTTAAAACAAATTTTAAACATCCTTACAGACTGAAAAGTGTTGTCATCGAGATCTGACTTCTCGTTAAGTAATTTTTACCTTTTAATAACTTTCAGTTACAACATTGATTCGTGTGAATACTTTTGGAACTAAAATATTGAAACAGTTCTCGTTTTCTTTCTATCAATAAATGATACAGAATATGAAACCCGAAATTTGCATCTGTATTTTATCCAGGTGTCCGACACTGTTGTCGAGCCATACAATGCTACACTGTCTGTACATCAACTTGTTGAGAATACTGATGAAACGTTCTGCATCGACAATGAAGCACTCTATGACATCTGCTTCAGAACACTCAAGTTAACCAACCCCACTTATGGAGATCTCAACCACTTGGTTAGTGCGACCATGTCTGGAGTGACCACCTGCCTCAGATTTCCTGGACAGCTGAATGCCGATCTACGGAAACTGGCGGTCAATATGGTCCCGTTTCCTCGATTGCATTTCTTCATGCCAGGATTTGCTCCGCTAACAAGTCGTGGCAGCCAACAGTATCGTTCATTAACTGTGCCTGAACTGACACAACAAATGTTTGATGCAAAGAATATGATGGCTGCCTGTGATCCTCGTCATGGTCGTTACTTGACAGTGGCGGCGATCTTCCGTGGTCGTATGTCTATGAAGGAGGTGGATGAGCAGATGTTGAATGTGCAGAATAAGAATTCGAGTTATTTTGTCGAGTGGATCCCGAATAATGTGAAGACGGCAGTATGTGACATTCCTCCTCGTGGTTTGAAGATGTCGGTGACTTTTATTGGTAATAGTACGGCAATGCAAGTGTTATTCAAGCGAATTTGTGAACAGTTCAGTGCCATGTTCCGTCGTAAAGCGTTTTTACATTGGTATACCAGTGAAGGGATGGATGAGATGGAATTTACTGAGGCTGAATCAAATATGAATGATTTGGTAAGTGAATATCAACAATATCAAGATGCAACGGTCGATGACGAGAACGATTCTGATATCGAAGGAATAGAGGAAGCTTAGATACAGGCTTTTGCCTCATGTAATTGTTAGCTTTCTGGAATATTTGTTTTTTCATCTCGTTGTGTCATCGTTAATTTTCTCTGTTATATAAATTATTTATAAGTGGGGATCACCATTTCTTCATTACTAATTTTAAACTTTTATGAAAGTAGTTTTTCACTAATTTATTAAATACCTATTTCATTATCACTTATTACGTATATGTGATAGGTTACTCTTAGTTTGTTCGTTGTTGTTCCAGCCATTTTATCATCAGAATCTCTAACTAATACATAAATCATTTTTATCAAAAATTGTCTTCCTTCCTAAATTTCACTGAAAGTTAAGAGATGTTCACTTGATTTGGAGTGCATTCGCCTGAGCCATCTCATTATTAACGATTCTTTGAAAGCTAGAAAATAGGGTCTTTAAATTTCTGACATTTAGTTCTAATCGATTATTAGGGCAAATTCACTAGGTTATTCAATATTACAGGCGATCCGGTTCTTCTCGAATTAAAACTATATAGTCCATTTATATATCGACATACTTAGTACAGTAACTTAAGCATCATGAAAAGACATTTAAGTGGAAATATTTCTCAGTATTTTCGGAAGTTTAATTTTTGTATTTAGTATGAATTTGATAGCAAGTACATCATTAGAGATACATTTCCTTTGAATTGTTATTTCATAAATTTGAAGATGATTAATTATTCGATCTCGTCGATGAAATGCTGGATTGATGAACAATGCCATTACTCTTTCTTTCTCACACACACACCACACCGATATATACATATATATTGCTTGTGCAATGGGGTGAGGTTTAATTCACTTGATGTTGTTTTACTTGATCAATTGCAATCTTAAACCTAAATGGGAAGATACAAGCCAAACAATACCAAGTGAATTTAAATTCACACCATTGCACAAGCAAATGTCTATCAGGACTCAGTAGCTGAGTGGATAACGCGGTGGCGTTTGAAGCGGACGGTAGTGAGTTCGAGTCCCAGAGTAAACGTCAACTCTGAGAAGCAGATACACCCAGCTGACGAGTCCCAAACAGGACGAAACGCGCGTCCTGAATTCCACTGCTAGCCACTATCCATCTTTGCTCTTAATGATACTAACTTCACTTAGATCAATATAAGAGAAAACTGGCAATAAAACAGAGTGCTGATTACATATCGTGTTTTACTTAAAAAGAGAACAGATGTACCTAGTTATAATATCACTGATATTAATGGCAAAAGGTAATACATGAAATTAATGATATTGTAGGTGGATTTGTTCTGAAATTGCAAGTATTATAAAAGGTCATGGACCTATTCTATGTTTTCTAGATATCATAAAACAACTTCAATCATTCTATTTCGTTAATCAAAAACCAGGTATAGAATAAATAGACTATGTTTTACACTCGAAAATCGATTTTATTTCATAAGAAATAAAGTGAATCTAATAAAACTCTTGTTTTCGTAGCATCTATGAGGTCATGGAAATAATAATAATAATAATAATAATAATAATAATAATAATAATGTTAGTAATAATAATAATACATTCATCAAGTGATATACGAATCTTTTAATGCACAGTTCATATATATTCTCCCTTCTATAAACTGAAATACCTTTCAACATAGCGAGATTGGAACTGTTGCAATAAAATAAAATGAGGTCAATCAATTTAATAATCTATTAAAAGCGTCAGTAATCTCCACAGAATTATTAATTTCCTATTGACTTTATTATCATTACATATTTACTTCCTTACGCCTTTTACCCTTCGTCGGGGAGCATAGGCCGCGCACCAGCATTCTCCATCCAACCCTGTCCTGGGTAATCCTTTCCAGTTGCTGTTCATCCTTTTCGTGTCTGTTTCCGATTCTTGGAGCTGTGTGTTCTTCGGCCTTCCTCTTTTCCGTTCCCCTTCAGGATTCCAAATTAGGACTTATTTCGTGGCACAGTTTGGTGGTTCCGTAATGTATGCCCTATCCACTTCTAACGTCTTTTGCTAATTTTCTCTTCAGTTGGAACCTGGTTTGTCCTCTCCCACATTAGGCTGTTACTGATGGTACCCGGCCAACTGATATTGAGTATCTTGCGTCAACTGTTTATAATACTTGTACTTTTTGTTGATAGTTGTAGTAGTTCTCTACGTTTTAGCTCCGTACAGTAAGACTGTCTTATCGTCCGTACTGAAGATTCTCACCTTGATATTGATTGTCAGTTGTTTTTAGTTCTATATGTTCTTCAGTTGTAGAAATGCGGCCGTTGCTTTTCTAGTCTTCGCCCATACATCTGCTTCTGATCCTCCATGTTCATCGATGATGCTTCCCAGGTATTTGAAAGATATCACATCATCCGCAGTTCCTCCATCAAGTGTGTTTGGGTGGTTGCTCTCTGCATTGTATTTGAGGGTCTGGCATTTCCTTTGTGTACGTTGAGGCCTACTGATGCAGAGGCTGCTGCTACACCAGTTGTCTTCATCTGCATTTGTTGGTGTAGAGGATACAAGGGCCAGGTCATCTGCAAAGTCCAAATCGTCTAGTTGCATGCAAGATGCCTATTGCATTCCGTGCTTTCCCTCAGATGTGAACGTCTTCATAATTCAATCAACCACCAAAGGAAAGAGGAAGGTGGAGAGTAAGCAATCTTGTCTGACTCCGGTTCTCACTTGCAATGCATCTGTCAGCTGTCCTCCATGCACAACTTTGCAATGTAGTCGGTCGTATGAATCCCGTATGATGTTGACAATCTTCTCATGTCTACCACAGTGTCGAAGAACGTTCTTAAGCTTCTGCTATCCTCATTGTCAAACGTTTTTTCATAGTCGAGGATGTTGATAATAGTGACGCGTCCCGTTCATTTGATTGCCGAACAATGATCCATAGTGTCGTGATTTGGCCTGTGCACGATCGATGCTTACGGGATCCAGCCTGTTGATCTCGAAATTGAACGTCATCCGGTTCAGTAACACTGTTGGATACTTTCCCTGGTACTAACAGTATTGTGACGCCTATGCAGTTTTCACATTTGTTCAGATCTCCTTTCTCTGGTATTTTGATGAATAGTCCTTCTCTCCAGTCTGTTGGTGTCACTTGTTCTTCCTCTCAAACCTTCCTGAATAGAACGTGGAGTATGCTTGCAGTTACTTCTATGTCTGATTTCAGAGCTTCCGCTGGTATATTGTCAGATCCAACTGCTTTGCCAGTCTTCATTTGCCCTATGGCCATACTGATTTCTTCGGTTGTTGGTGGAGTGTGTGTGGTGCCTCGGTTTCCGCTGGGTTCAGTGGGGTTGACCTATTCAAGAGTTCTTCAAAGTTGTCTATCCACTTATTACGCTGTCCTTGAATCCCAGTGATTGATGTGTCTTCTTCACTTTTGACTGGTCGCTCTGCTTTACAATATTTCCGTGCAAGTTTCTTCGTTGTGTCATATAGGTGTTTCGCATTTCCTTCGGTTTCAGCTTTTTCCACTGTCGTTGTTAGCTCTTCCACGTATTCCTGCTTGTCGGCTCTAACGCTCCTCTTCACTTTCTTGTTTGCTTCAGTGTATTCAACTTGTGCCTTGAGATTCTCTGTTTTTGTTCGGCTGTTGTTAATTGCTGTCTTCTTGTTGTTCCTCTCTTGAATTTTGTGCATGGTTTCGATAGGGATCACTTCGTTGTGATAATGCTTCTTGCGGCCCAGCACCTCCTGACACATTGATGTAAGTGCTTCTTTGATCCCTTTGCAGTTGTCCTTCATGGTAGTTTCTTCTTCTTTCAGTGGATCATGTAAGGTTTGTAACCTGTTGTTGAGAGTTATCTTGAATTCGTTGAGTTTGTCGGTATCTCGTAGGATGGCTGAGTTGAACCTTTGTAAAGCTGTTTGTCCAGTTGTCCAGTGCTTCTCTAACATCGGTTTCACCTCATTGCAAGCCCAACATAAGTGGGTCGATAGAACCAGTTGAACTGACTAGTATACATCGGAGTTGAGGAGCTTACCATCCTTATCTCCATATCTTTATTTGAAAAATTAATATTCATTGGCTAAGGAATGAATGAACTAATCTGGGAACATGGAATGTTGTCAGTGAATACCATAAACAACGTGTAACGATTTTCATTATGTTACCTTTACACTACAATTACAGAAGCAAAGGCTTTTTGGAGCTGTTTATAAATTCATTTAGGCTTTTTCTTTAGAGTTGTCTGTTAGGAAGTTTTATTAATATTTATTATTACACAATAGCTCATGAATAGGCTTAAGTCCTTCCTAAATTCTCTCTTCATTACAGATACCCGTAGCTCTATAAACAAATTATTATAGTAGGATAGAGCTCAAAACGAGTACGTTGACCTAAATCTGTTGGTCTTCGATACCCACCTCTTTTTGTCTTTTTATCCAATCATTTAATAAAAAAAATAGCTAAGAATGGAATGCTATCGTTGTTTTTTTCGTTTCATTGTAAAACTGACAGCTTGATAAATTATATGGAACTTGTCTAGTAAATTCAGTTCGTTATCTTTGTCTATGAACAGATTATCTACATTGCACCAAGAGAATTCTAGTTCGTTTATGATGTATTTTGTCGGTTAATATGTTGCACAAAAATTATTTGTTTTCTTTTAAATAAAATATTTCGCTTGATACTAGAGTGCAAACAATGTGATAGCTCCATTTACTTAAGGCTCATGGAGAGAGGCATTCTTAGGGAATTTGAGAAAATAATTACATGATTTACGGAAAGTAATCTGGTTCACAAGTGATATAAGAACAAGCTTTATCTATTAGTTATTCATATTTTAGAAACCTTTTAAATATTTCCCATCATAGTATAAAGATGTGGGACATGCTGAATTATTGAGCTTATTGTTACCATTATTATGTGTAGCATATTCTACGTTACACATAGAGGACTGATTGAAAAAACGATAGAAAATTGACATGTATCAAAAAATTCAAACTTAAGGTGTTATTCACTTGATATTGTTTTTACTTGAATCTTCCCATTGATGTTTTTTTAGGACT